AGGATTGGAAAAAAAAGGAGAATAGTAACAAGTACTAAGATATAATGATGAGCTATGTTTAAAATTTTACAATAGAAATGGAGAAAAGTAAGTATGTTAACAAGGAATAATATAGTATATATATAGTTAATTTACAGGGGCCGGTTGTATCAAAGACGTTTAACTCGCTAGCCACCGTTTAACTCGCTATCCGCCGGATAAAATTTAAACGCTCGAGAAATCGCGTTGTATCAAGCCCGTTTAGGGCTATCCACCGGTTAAATTTCGCCTATTCATCGTGTAAACTTATACGGTCTCTTGAGACCGTTTAAATCGCTATACGGCGGATAAACTTGGAGTTTGGAGATAAAACAATGATTATTTCGGATGAAAAAGCATGGGATAGTTATGGAAATACATAATCATGTAGAGGAGTTATCTTTTTGAATCAATAAACATGAAAAACTCACTTTTAATTGGCTTGGTCTTGAGGTACACTGAAGTCACTTGCTCACTTGTAATTCCGTGGCTTTGCTATATATTCTGTGCCAGTGTCATGTTTAGATGTTAAGTATATATACTCTGGCTTTTTCTCCGTCCTTTCTTCTATTATATAGTTTGAAAGCAAGCAGTAAGACTCCCAGTTTTAGCTATTGTAAAACAAACAATGACTTTGGAATGCCAACAAGTATACAAAATAGACAACAAGACGCCGAATTGCCGAAAGTCGAAAAAATTTTGTTCGCTCGTGTTAAGCAGCCAATCAAAACTTGGGAAAAATGTTCTTAAAATTGTTTTGAACACATAGGCAAGGTCAAGGAACAAATTTCAAACAGTATAAAACTGAATCAGCTGACAAAAGCCAAACACAACTCACAGTTTTTGCTATTGCCTTCGACTCTTTGCATAAAGAAGCCAAAAATCTTTAAGAAATATCCGTATAAAGTGAATTTAGTTGAATGAGAAACTCAGCACAATGTGAAAATGAAAAGTTTGATACAGATTTGCAGCAACGAATGGACGAGCAGACTCCAAATAAAAACAACAACAAACTTTATTGCAAAACTTAGTGGAATCACAGAGTAGATAAGACATAGACAGAGTAGATAAGACAATTCACAAGTTAAACAAAGCTTCAAAAGTTTACAAAAGCCTAGCAACAGCTGACGTAGAGGTAAGAAATTTCAAGAAAATCCGGTTTTCTCCGGTTAAATTCACTAAACGGGCTTCATACAATGCAATTTTATCGGCCGTTTAAATTAACTATTCGCCGGATAAGAAATTTATACGCTGGTTAGCGGCTAAACACCGTTTAAGCTAAACGCCTTTGATACAACCGGCCGAAAAGGATGTTAATTTGTTGTTTTTAAATGCAGATAGAAATTTTTCATTGTTTTCTTGAAAGACCCATACGATCTATTTTCTTTATATTTCGAAGGAAGATTATTCCATATATCAATTCCCTTATTAGTTAGAGTTTGTTTTGTATAATTT